TATATATATATGTCACTTTCAATGCATGATTTATGGGTTAGGAAAACCAAATAGGACCACAATGTTTAAACCGTCTCTAACCCAAAATAATTAGTTAATTCATGATTAACTTGACCGGTCAAAAAGGCATCCGAATTAATCTCCTTGGATTTATATTAAAATAATCAGTCATTAAACCTTAATCCAGAGCCTAATGAGAATTTTTTTTTAATAATAAAGAAGAGCTAAACGTCAATTACTGTGCTAATCCAGATTGGCAGAATAGTCTGCAGGAGTCTACTATTCTTATCATTTAATTCCCATGGACCTGTCACCAACCGGAAGTATGGGCGGTTGCTGTAGAGGCAATAAATGAGCCTATCATTCCACAAATGAGAAATGCAGGTCAGAAATTGTGAAGCAAATTAGGTGTCAAATTCCATGTTCAATTCTTTAGTATTAAATATGGGTCATATAGTTTGATTATAAAATGTGTCTTGTTAAAATCCCTCAATGATGATGGGATGATGATGGGATGATGATGGGGATTAAAGCACTATATGTAATTTTTTTTTTTTTTATCAATTTTGAGGATCACTCAAGTAGTTAATATTTGATAGTACTTTGATGGTTGAAATGCTTCTGACATAAATTTTGAGACTTGACATGAATTTCAATGTAATTTTTGAATAAGAAACATTCAAAGTTTAACTAAAAATCATTTAAATTTTTGGTATCAGTAAACTTGTAGTTAAGTTGACCGACTGGACAAGACGGATCTAATGATATCAAAAGTAGTGTAATTTGAGTCAAATCAAGCTTGTTTTAAGCTGTTAAAATTTTTTGGAAAGTTTCAGTACATAATTGAAATGTTGAGCGGATTTCAAATCTGACAAGCTTATAGTCAAATAAAATGTCCCAATTATGTTATTTATTTTTATTTTTATAGTGATTTTTCTCTTTCCCTTTCACTCCGTACTCTGTTTAAAACCCCTTGTTTCTTTGCCATAATAGATACTAATATAGTTCGCTTGTTATCAATAGACATTTCCATTCAACATTATTTCAAGTGCAAGAAGTGTGGATTGATCGCACATAATTAAAACCAAACATTTTTTGATGCCCATCAGACCTCAGAGACCATGCGAAATAAGAAAATTTGTGACCACCATACAACTTACATAGATGGAGAAGAGGCTAGCTTAGATGATCAAAACCACATTTAAGAGGGTGTTATGTGTCGTTCAAGAACAAAAATCCATAAAGTTCTTTTGACACCATCATATAATGACAAACATCAAACACTCAAGTACTGACAACCACTCATATAATCAATGACAACTATGATCCCAATGATGAGAAGTATTCACCCGCCTCAACTCACATAAACAATATATATAGCTGAGGTGGGACTTGTCATCCTGAGAGGCGCGAAAAAGAAGCCACCCACCATATGAGTCATAAAGGACATCAATCGGGAGAAGTAAATTCTATCTTATAAGATGAATTTGAGTAAGACTCGAACAATCAAATTATCTATGTTTTCACTTTTTATAGGCAATTTCTCATAGTTGAAGAAGAGTATGTCCTATACAACTTTTCATTTACTGAATAGAATCTAGGATTATGTGTCTCCTTCTTAGCTTGTAATCTACGAGAATTTTTTGAATGATACAATTCATGATAAAAAGAATTAAATGTAAGGTTGGATTGACCACCTTAATGTGCTTATTGACTTATATTTTCATGAACTAGGGTAATTTTTAGGCATTCCGTAGCTTTTCGGGCTATAAGTCTTCGAGTGACCCTGGAAATTTTGATCTCGCAAGGTAAGCTGAAGAAAAACAAAGAAAAAGAAGTACGTACTAGGAAAACATCTCCTCTTGTCTGCCTCGGGTAAAACCTATTATATATTAATAGCTATTATAATCTTCTTTCAAGATATCTTCATATAAGAAGTCATCTAAGACTAACATTATGAAATTGAACTAATTAAGATAATTACTTGTAGTTTTTAGCTTTCTTAGTTAGTGATGTAATCTATTATTCAGTTTGGTCAATGGAGCTTCCTAAGTTGTCTTTTTGCAGGTTAGTTCATATGTATATAATTACTCTCTGCTAAAAATCAATCTTATCCTCAAGGTTAAGTTCTAGATATAAGCTTTAAAGTCATCTAAAATTATCTAGGAAGTTTATTCTTATGATATTCCTTTTTATTGAATTAACACCTATTTTTGGGTTGTGCATTATAAAATGTTAAACAATTTGAGAATAGCTAGTAGTTTGAATACAAACTGATCTTCATAATACTTTGATAGTGTTGCTGGATGTATCTGTGTATATTTTCTAAATAATTTTAATCGGGATATGAGGAATACGAGCTGAATTTTTGGTATTTTACATATATCTCATTTGTAAGTTATTAAAACACTTGAGATATTATATTAAAGGACCCAAAAAATCTACTATTCAGCTTGGTGAACTTGTTATCTGTTATTGAGGTTTGCCTTTACAATTGTAGATGAAAAATACCTTGTTTCCAATTTGGAATTATAAATCACTCATTTGCTTATGTGTTATTTGTTTCATTTGATTTTGAATCCTTTGTTCTTGTAGCTGAGCCAAAATTTTACTCATTTGTTTTAATACAATATAAATGACTTCACTTTTAGAGCTATTGGGGTCATATGAGCCTATGGTAGGGGGCTCTACCATAAAGAATTTGAAACAGTGAGAATCATATGAAAGTGTGCATGACAGTGTTGTAAAAGTATTTAACTTATGGTAAAATTTTAAGCCATTATGTTGGAGAATATATCACAAAGTATTATAAGTATTGTTCTAAATTTTGATTTGTTACTTCTATTTGACTCTAGGTTTTTGGAAGATAAGAATTAATGTGTTCTAATATTTTCCTATTAGTTAGAACAAATTAGCCCAAAATACACACATAAAAAAAATAGGATCATTTTTTGAAATTATGGATGTGGTATCCCATACAATATACATATTTCTAAGGTAAAAAAGATGGCTATTGCTAGGGGTGAAAATCAATCAATCGCCTCTAATATTATTACTTTGCCTTGATATTTTGATAAGCCTATTTTAAAATCCACCGATATCTATTCACATTGATAATGGCATAGTAGATCTGTTGGTCTCTAATTTTCATATTTGGCTTGTTGGCAAACTGGGCAAACTCATATATACTATAAAATATATTATTTAATCTTTGGCCTGAAAAATTGAGCCATTATCCTAGCAGTAGTTCATCGTATACCTCCATGACCTCCAATTATGCATGTGGTATCCCATACAAAATGTTGAGTTTCAACTTGAAGTTAGTAACTATCATTATTTTGTGTTTGAAATATATCAAGCTATTTTTTAGAACAAGATGAGGATAATGGAATGGTGCATTTATGATGTCCTCATATAATTATTACATCTCCTCTCTTTCTATACTTTTCTTCACAATTTTGTCTATTAATGTAGTATTGTAGTTCTACATCAAAGAATAGAATTTTGAACAATTTTTTATCAAAACCAAACCGCATGTTAAACCGCAAGAAGGAAATGCTCAAGTTTTGATGGTTCAATCAAGATTGAACCGGATAATACAAATAAATATTTAAATTATTTTAATAAAATTTAAATAATAGAATAATGATGTATTACTATCATTTTTATCAAATTAATAAATAATACTTTATTTTAAGATAAAATTTTTTAAATATTTTAAATAATATTCTATATCCCTTTTGATGAAATCACAGCCTTAGAAATTACTTCAATTGTTTTTCTATTTATGAAACGAAGATGCAATGAAGTTCATATCCTACAAATTTATTTCATTCGCTCCGGCTCTGCTGACCCTGCCCGCTCCGCGCAGAGGCAAATTTAATTAGTCGGCATGCTGTGCATCACCAACCATAGCAATAATATGAATGCGAAGGGAAGCACACGACTAGAAAACAGGAGGGGCGAGAGGGAGAGAGAAGAGTTTGGGTTTGACCATCTACTACACCTCAATGCGTATGACCCCCTTATATCCCTCCGCATCACCAAACTCAGCGCTAAGCTGCAGCTCGCCTCTCGATCAGATTCCCTTTCTCCGTTTTGTCTCCGTTCGGATCTCAGTCTGCGGGAAAGATTGCATCTTGCTCGATCCATCCGCCTCTTCTCACTCTCTTCTTCCTACTCGGCACCGCGCTGCTCGGGGTTTGCGCTAAAGGTGAGTTTTTGCTGCTCTGTTGTTGCTCATCTCGTTTATTCTCGATCTGGGTTTCTTATTCCTTCCTTTATGCTGAATCTTGTGATTTGTTTTGGTTGTATTTGACCGGATTCTTCTTTTTTTTCAGCTAATCATTGAGATTTTCAGTGGGGAGTTGGTTCTGTATGGAAAGGAGATAAAGGAGGTGTAAAGGGTTTTCAAAGGTCTTAGTTTTGAGTGTTCAAAGGTCTTAGTTTTGAG